GAGTTTGAGCTCATAAGTCTACTTATGAGCTCACTATTAAAATAACATTAGCAATTTTTTAAGATTCAGTGCATGATACCTGATGATTTTTCTGATCTATGATTTTTTTGCTGCATGATATCTGTTTTGAACACGGGTGAATGGGAAAAATATTTATCGCACCAAAAGTCGGCATCAAGAGATTCTGCCGCTTTTGTTATTTTGAAACAACTCATCCAGAACATTGTCATGCAATCTTATTCGTAATCTGAAACCGTACCTCCAGAAATTTTTATGAGTCTTTGGTTCCATCAGCATATTACTGAGGGCTTTTCAAGCAAAACACTCCCATAATAGATGAGAAATTCGCGGCTGTGTGTAGGTACTTTGTCGGATACGAGAATATAGATCGTTACGTGCGCTTAAGAAAGTTCTGAAAGTTCCGTCTCAATTGTTTTCTACCACGAAATTCCGTTAATTTTGTATCCCGTTATAGTATGAATATGGCCTACACGACAACTAGTCGACCTAACTTGCCGTTGAAGTTATACCGCACTTTGTTAACTCACTTATTAATGATAGTTTCCATTTATCCAGTTAATCGTAATTTCATGAAAAGATTGGGTATTGATGTTATTATGTCAATGTGTAGTCAATTCTTGATTATTTACTATGATCAGAAGTTCAATTCCATTCGTTCCGTGTCTACCTTGGACAATTGCACCGAGTGAATTTTTTCTTCTACTTACAATATTACAGCAATTTTTTCCTGAATTAATTCCTAGACTTGCAATATTGTAGAAATTTTTTGGATAAATTAGTTCGTATACTTGCAATATTGTAGCGATTTTTAGCGAGAAGTAATTCTTACGCTTGCAATATTGTAGCAGTTTTGAAAAATATACGTGGGAAAAATTGAGATAAATTTTCTAATCCCTGTTACTACAAATTCAGTGTCAGTGAAGTACCATGATGAACATGATTGCTCACATCCAAGCATGGTAGGGAAGTCTACGCTGATCAACGTCTACGCTGATTGATCGAGATCAACGACGTAACTTAGATCAAGGGAGAAATCCCTTGAACCAACCACATTGAACCTTACTAACTATTCTAACCATATTCCCTGTGCATTTGAAGGAGGATATACCACCACACATTTACTGTAGCACCTTAGACCGTTTATTTTTCAGGCCAAATCAATATTATTGTTGTGATCAGGATGAATTCAGGTCACTTGCATGTCAAAAATACCATGTTAAACATTCAGGTAGCAATTACACTAAAATTTTAAACTTTCTAGGCAACGGGATCACCTTTTGCTTAGTGCCAAAGTTTAATTGACAGTCGCATCGAAATGTTCAAAGTATTTGATGCATTGCTAAGACTTTGTATTCAACTCACAGAAACAAGACATGTTGTCCGAAGACATCGAATAAAACTCTTTGGAAGTATATGTGTTGAAATTTTGCCTAAGCCTAAGGCCTACGCAGGAAAATACGATAAAGGAATTGTGCAATAACCAAGATCGAATTCCTCAAAATGGATATTGTGCGCATTGCTGAAGAAATTCTCATCCGAAATAAGATCGTCATTTGATGTAAATTTAAAATACTAACCGGGGAACTAAATTTTAATTTAAAACTCTAAGTGAGGAACTTAATTTTATTTTCAAACTCTAAGTAAACAACCTGCAGTAAATAAAAGATTTTAAGTGAGGAACTTAATTTTAATATTAAACTCTAAGTGATGAACTTTATTTTAATTTAAAACTCCAAATGAGGAACGTGATGTAAATAAAAAATTTTAATTGAGCAACTGAGTTCAGGAACTGAGTTCAGGGTGTGGTATGGCTAGTGGCATGGTGCTCAACACTCGTGCCGTGTGGTGTGGTGTGGTGATGATAGAGTGATGATAGAGGCACCAGATACAGCAGAGTATCTTGTTAATACCTGGCATAATGTGGGGCTGTCTTTACATCGTTATTATTCATGCATATATTATCATTCAATAAAATATAATTCAGTATAGATTTTATTTACAATTCCAACATTTTAACGATGCGTTATAAACGCCACAACTTCAAAGTCGAAACAATGTAGATGAGCCATAACGCGTTGTATTATAACGTCAACAAGACGTTGCCAAATTGACGTTGATTAAGTTTCAATACTGGTCCAGGGTTCAGCATGATTTAAATTTCGTGATCAGAGGTTGGTTCAACGTTGATTGAACCAGATAAAGTCTGCAACGATGGAATTTTAATTTCTTGTTCAAATTGCGTGGAGCACTCAGGTTCATTTTGTCCAAGTTCAACTCCGTGGGGTGCAGAGATACCTGAATCTCAAGACCAAACTCCGTGGAGTTGAAAGGTACTCTAATATCAGGACAAAACTCCGTGGAGTATTCTAATATTATAACGTTATATTAATCTTCGCATTGTATACGAAGCAGGCAATTTCTGATTACATTAAGATTGAAACCACTTACTTCCGAGTAGTAGAAAAAACGGAATAAAATTAAGATTACCGTAATAATATTTCGCATGGTGTCTATGTTACAGAACAGCATTGAAATGATGGTATCGCATGGCCATGTTTATAAATCAAAATAGTTACTCGCGAAACACATTGAAATAGTTACGCTCGAACCAAATTGTAAGTTAAGAGAAGAAAATTAGCGTTCTGATTGCAACGTTGATATCATGCAATCATAAAACCGTGTGGTTTAGAACCAGATTTTGATTCCTTGCTTATTGACTGAGTATCTCATTGCAACATTAGGAAAATAGTGTTATAGTTCATAATATATTATTTATCTTATAATATTTAATTATCGGTTGGGAGAGAGTTAAACTTTGCCGGGACCGAGCCATCGACTTGCCACTCACCCCGAAATGCGTCAGTTCAGTCAGCTACGAAGCTGGGTCGATCGTTTGAGGCTTGACCGATTTATCACGCCTCGGTCATCGAAATTCGCCGATTCTGAAATCAATGTGGTCGATCAATTTCACGAAGTTCTAAAGCTGCTTGCTTAAAAGCTTAATTAAAAAATTCAGTCAATTAATTCAAAATTGTTTTATATATTCTCTGCGAGCATCCTGTCTATGCAGAAGCTTTTATGTTAATCATAACAGGGTTATTGATGTAACAGGATTGGCAACCGTAACCGAGTAGTTTACAGTAACAGGACTTTTGCCAATGAAATGGCTGTTACCCTAACACGATTGTTAACCGGTCTGTTTACAGTTTACCCACTTGGCTAGTTGACGTATACTTGACCTAGTAATTCAATTTGGATAAAAAGAGCTTAAGAATAATTAATGGAAATTAGGACGTAATGCCCCTTAAGTCACTAACGAGTGCCTATTGCAATACAACCGCATGTTAACATCATTCTTTAGAGTATACCAGAATGATTGAAGCTAAATCATTTAGGGAAGAATGGTTAAGCTACTTCAAGAATAATTAATCTCGTTGCAATGTAAGCCGAGCAATGTCATACGTCAGATTATGAATGGATGTAAAATTTGAGGCTGGCGTTCTCAGAAATTATCATAATGGCACATTTTCTATGTAACCTTTTCACACTGTTTTTATCGCCGATAATTGGGACTCTAGCGATTCAGTATTGGCTTATATAAGAAAGTAAGTCTCATCAAATTGGAAAGAATTCTTGCCGTCTTCTCGAATTATGTTGAAATAGATACTCTGATATCTATCTAATCTGCTCAATTGGTACGAACTGATTATTTCCAACAACAAAATATAGTAAATCCTACATAAAGCATTTCTTATAAAAATGATAAGTCCTTCCACAATTAGAATTATGCAAATGTGTTGTTTGGGAAAATTAATGGATATACTTCAGTTATTGATCAACATTTTGGATAAAATAACTGTTAAATTTGTGTTTAAATTTTGTCAATCTTTTAGTTAAGATCATTTCTATGTTTTAGCCATCAATGTTTAAGATACGGTCTGATGATGAGTGTGGAACCGCACAATGCAACTGCGCAAGAAATTGTTCCAATCAACGAAATATATTGTGAAAACGCAATGTGCTTTTCTATTTGAACTAAAACTTCTTGCATGATAGTACCTAAGTTGAGTGACTTGTGCGAATTCTCCCGCAGTCTGGTTGGATGAGGAAGGCGGTACCACATTTTGCTAGGAATAAGTAATATCATGCGTTAAATATGTTCAATATTTTGTAACTAGTGAGTCAAATAAGGCTGCATTATTATCAAAAATCATGTATAGTTGGATCACAAAGATAATGTGTATGTTTCAAAAGGTATGAAGCTATGATTTCCAATAATTCAATCTTCGTTTCACGATTTGGAACAAGGAGTTTGCACATTTTCAGGTGCATTCCAAATGAAATGTGAGTTATGAGGTCAAGTTTATTTTCAGCTTCAAGTCGATGATGAGATATGTTCCGCCAGTTCGCAATTATTTATCGGATTTAGTATTCAACAGATGCACATTCACATGTCATTTCTTTGATGTGCTGTGACAAGTTTGTGAATTGCTTCACAGCTCAATTCATTTCACAAAGCCATTTCCAAAGCCACAGCTCAAGCGGGACATTATCGATAGTAGCGCTCACCGCTGCCTGCAGTCGTTCTGTGCCTCTGTTCTCGACAGCACCCGAGAATGTAACTGAAAATTAATGTAGCAACTATTTGATTCATTAAAAAATAATGCCTAATTTTTTTCTGTAAATTAATTCTGTTTTTATCGCATATTGAAATGCGACGAAATGCTCTCTTCATTTCCACCACAGTGAAAAATCACGAGTAAATACAGCTTTCGTTGCCACCTTAGAAAATTTAGTGGCATATTGTCAGATTAAGTAAACAATATAACAAAATTTAAAAAATATGAATAGTTTTAGAATTAATTGTATTAAACCAATAGAATTTTATATTTTTATTGACAGAAATTAAAAAAACATATACAATCGAATTAGGCAGATATATTAATAAAGACGCTTATCCCAGAGAAAGATCATGAACTTATGCGCTATGGCTTTAGCGTTGTGGCTACGTGGCATAGGTTCGTGCGTCGCGGCGCTGGCGATGTCCACTGACGTCATTTATGACGTGGGCGACTTCTACGGCATCCTGGGCAAGGGGCTGACGGCCAGCCAAGTCTTCGTCGAGACGCAAGTCGAACGCACCTGTGAGTGAAATTTTATAGGCTTAGACAGACTATAATCATCGCAATTATATTTATTATTATTATTATTTTATTATTATTATTATTAATCATATATTTATTATTATTAATCATCGCAATTATATGTATTTAAACCGTATTTTTCGGGAATGAATGAGTAATGTAGAGTTTCTTTTACGAATTTGGAATTTCGATTATCGGATTTAATTTGGTGCAATCGAACTTTATTTCAAGTAAAAATTATCAGCTGACCGACAATATACTGTAATTAGGTTAAGTTTGTTTCTGGACGATCGATAGAGATTGTGAATCAAATTGAGAAACATTGGAAGAAGTAAACATTTGACATTCGGGGAAAAATTCATATGAAATCACATTGATACATTGATTTCATTGATAAAAAATTGATTAATTATCATTAATTTTATTCTTAAATTGATTGACAAAAAATATTGATACGATTTCATCAGGGCGCTTTTTGCATTACAAAATTTTTTTGCTGAAATATTTCAACAAGAAGATCTGAAATAAATGTTATCACACTTGAAAATCTCAAATCAGTAGCTTAGAAACGAGAGTCAACAAAAAATGAAAACATTTAGAAAACAAGTTTCATCACATAACATTAAACTACATTCGCTTGCTCCAACTGTGCAGTTGTTTCAAATGATTTCACAGAATTCGAATTCTTCTTGCCGCTTACTTTAGTTTACTTGTATTTATATTATATAAATATTTTAAATATACTAGGAAAGAAAATGACTAAATTGGGCGATAGATACTTTGCATTGTATGAGCCGTTCCCAAACAGAATGATTTTTCTTCATAGCTTGATGAAGTTAAAATTGAAGTTCATCAGTTTTCTGATTGAAATGCGTCATTTGAACATGAGAACGAATTTTTTTTAATATCCGTGTTTAAAACTACAAATTTGATGGTTTAATTAGAATCACACCGCTAAACTGAGACGAGTTTTAGGAATCATTGATTTTGATTCCTTGTCGTCTTTATTACAAAACCTTAAACACTTAGTAAGGTTAGTCAATTTTTTGTACATTATTTCCAATTAAGAATGGAATTCATTAATTAACTCTTTGATTTGTTTGATCCGAGACGTCATGTGAGCTTATTTATCGTTTGTATATTATACAGTACTAAGGAAACTTGGCCAATTTCATTGAAAATCTATTGGTTTTGTAATCATATGTTATCTTTCAAATAATTCAAAACATGAGAGATTTTGGTTCTCAGCGCTGTGAGATGCGAAACTCTGGGTGATAAAAACATGAATCAACCTGTACAATGATAATATATCTCAACATCCGTCCAAAAAATAAATTGCTTGCGTCACTTTTTAATTCTGGAGAATTATCCCCACAGGCGAGTGCCGTATGCGGTGCTTCGTGCACACGGCGTGCGTGGCGTTCAGTGTTCGCCCGCACCCACACGGCGCGCTCGTGTGCGGGCTGGCCAGAGAAAACGTGTACGTCAACAGGCCAGGCGACGTCCCTGGGGCTTCGTACTTCGTCAGGAAACGTATGTTTATTGATTGAAAAGCTACCTCTCGTGATTTTAGACTTCTTCATATCTCCTATAATATACAGTTATCCTTTCCATTGGCTTGCAGTGTGATGGGGTTTATTTTCATATATTGGGTAAATAACATTGTCTCTAAATGTTCAGCGTAAAATAGGATTTAAAATGTCATTGAAGTGAACTGTTGCTAGAACTCTGGAGGAAAAAAAATTTCAATTTTCTAATTACGTTGCCCAACTCCTCGTTACGTCGTCTAACGCTCAGGATGCGGACAAAAATCATGCAGCATTTTTTCATGAACATTTGAATGCTGAAATCATTCTAGTCTATGTTCGTAAAGGATGTCAGGATACAATTTTACTTATTATGTCCCTGGTATTCAATCTGTGTTCATGAGATATTGTAAACAAATCAGCATGATATCTTTCATTGTTTAGAAGGATACCTAGGAGGATTTTGTTTTGTAAAAACAAAACGATTATGAATAGAACTAAAAGGTTGAGCAAAATTATCATTGCTTGCTTGATAAGAAAGTCTGGATTTAATCATTTTTTCATACAAAATGTCCGTGTGAATGTTCCAGAGCGTATTGAACCTTGGGCCATCGATCGACTGGTTTACCGACGCTTGACCACTCAAGTCCAAGGCTTCAACGCCAGCAAGGCGGCCTGCGAGGCCATCCTCGGCTTCCGCCTGATTGCCGTCATGTTCGAGGCCCAGATGTCCATCCTGCTGGAGTTGTGCCTCGGCAGGAAACCCAACCCGGGGGAGACCCAGTGCGGGAACAGTGCCAGGTGGTTCTACGTTGACATGGTCAAGATCAACAACGTACCCATGATACGAGGGCAAACACCTTTGGCTGATACCGACGTTACCAGCGTTCTTATCAACGATAATAATAAGAACTTCATCTACGCGCATTCAGGGCAGATTCACGATGAGAACCCCAAGTCCTGGGATGTTTTTCCTGTCTGTCAGGCCAACGTGTTTGGGGTAAACTGGTAGATGTCGGGTAGTATGCTGCTTATGAACGTTTCCTCATAGTCCAAGGAACGTTATGAAGCAAGTCGTTTACGTCGCGTTTAAAGCTTTGAACGGTAATAACATCATGTTTTAAAGAGTAACATAACGCCTTCGAGCTTGTACACCGCAATGCAATGATTTGGAAATGAACGGACGTGCAGATATTGTCGTAGAAGCAAAATATTAGCGGATATAAAACATGGCGTATGTTCTTTTTATATCGTCACTTTTGAATTGTTATATATTGAGGTTTCTGTCTGTTCACCATCTACCCCTATGAGGTCAACTACCTGGCTTATTGTCAATTGTATTGTCAACACTATAATGAAGGTTAATCTTCAGTCAATTGGGGACTGTAGAGCTTTCACCATGATTTGTGTTTGGTTTGTGGAACCAACTTGTTCAGTATCCGGTCTGTTAACAATGTTCTGATAGTACTGATATGAACAGAGATGTTACTTAACATGTTCCCCAGATAATTTATCTAGTGTTGTTGTTGTCACGTCACGGAATTATTGTTGTTACGTCACAAATTGTTGTTGTCACTGCATTAATTATTTGCGTGCAACGAAGAAACGCGATTTATTAGTCGGATGAAGTTTGTAAAAGTATGAACTTTTTGTCAATTAAATTAAAAATTGTGGTTTATAAATAATAAACTACACGTTTTATTTGTTCATTATATAATTATAGATTTATTAAGTTGATAAGTTGACATGATAAGGTCCTTCAAATTTACTTTAATGTGAATTGGACCACTGATATGTTAACAATATTATTATTACATCCATAAATAGTTCCTGAAAATCGTAATAATTTTGAAGTTACTACTCATCAAGAGCTGGATAATGCCACGTTTATTCTCGAAAACCGTGATATATTTTCCTAGCAATGAAAATGAGTTATTTAATAAATTTTCATGAATGTAAAATGGAATTGTTGTAAATTTATTAAAAAACCTATCATACCCTTTCTGATTTCAGTCCAAAATTTTTTTCAAGTAATAAATTTTTGTTTCCTTTTTGTTTCTTCCGATTTTAAAGATATTTTTAAATTTTCAGTAATTTCATTAACTGTTTAACTAAATAAAAAATAATTGATTAAACCTTTTTCTATTGTGTTGAAATAAACATTTTCTACACGAAATTTTGTCCTGACCCGAACATATTCACAACCATGACTTACCTGTACCATAATTTGGTCACATTGCAATGGAATTTCAATTTATCCAAATTATAGAACGTAGTCGGTGGTCAAAGTTGACAGACTAATGACAACTACGATTTTACTCGCCATGTTAGTTTGCGCTGAGCACTAAAATGATGATTAAAATAAAACAATCTAATTGATATCGATTGATCAGAAAAACGAGTTCACTGCAATTGGCCTTTACACACCGAAGAAAAGTGCATTACTGTCGGTGGGAAATGGATCTAAAAGCTCACGCAAATATCCAAGAATTCTTTCGGCGTGAAATGTCATTGTTTGAATTTCTGTAATTTTATTGATGCCATTATTTAAGGAAATAATGACATAAATATGTATAATTGACTAATCTAAATATTTTTTTCGAATGTAAACGACATCTCTTGTTTTGAAAGTGTGAAGCTCTCTGGATACAATAGTAAATGGAATGAATAACCGAAGATGAAATGAACTCTAATGGACCTCTTAATGGACCGTTGGTTATAACTAAATTAGTCAATATATGAAAAAATAACTACAAACATGTTCGAAATCATATATAATATGTTCTTCATATTAATTTGGCAGGCGAAATAACAGGTCACCTATTTGCATAAGATAAATTTGAATTAGATATAGGTTAGGTCGCGTAGGTAATTTTACAACTTACTGAAGGTCATAAGGTGTGAAACCAATCATCCAGCCAATATAACTAAAATATTAAAAGCCTTCAAAAAAAAAGTTATCGTTGGTTATAATTACGACTTTCAACTCAATTGAGCGCCCGCTGCCACCTGAACGACTCTAGTGTAGTTTGTATGTGTTTCACTTACCCTCTTAATTGTACCGCTGCGTTAGTAATGTGCTAAAATTGGTGTTTTGTGTGTGGTAGTTGCATAGAAAATGAGGTACGCGGTACATTACGATATACCACTGCGCAGCTGCAGCATTGAGCGTGACTGAGGAATTGTGGGTAAATAAAAATTTAATATAATAATAAAAATGTGGTCTTATTTTATATTTGTATGGTATTGAATAATAAATTATAGTATTCAAACTTTGTGGAGTATTTGAAGAATAAAATTAAATTTTTAAGCTCCATGGAGAATTGGTATTAAAGTCTGATGTTCCATTACACTGGAGTGATTTTTCTTTGAATATCATGACAAAGGTGGCGTACATGCAAGAACTCGATCGAAGCAAAAACGCTCTTCCATTTAAACGTAAATGTATTTCTCGTCGAATGTCAATCAAATGCATGATTGAAAATCTTTTAGTGTGCCATCACGAAGGCTAAATTCAGCGCTGCCTGCAGTCGGCCAGTTCCTGAGCACAAGACAACATGTGCTGATAAAACGTGAAATTAAAAATAATCACACTTCCAGAAATTAAGTAAGATAAAACGGTACTTGGATCCAAAACTCTCGACGATTAGATTTTTGTCACAACCACGGCTATGCGTTTAGTCGATGTGGCGCTGGCGGCGTTGGCGTTGTGGCTACGCGGCATAGGTTCGTGCGTCGCGGCGCTGACGATGTCCACTGACGTCATTTATGACGTGGGCGACTTCTACGGCATCCTAGGCAAGGGGCTGACGGCCAGCCAAGTCTTCGTCGAGACGCAAGTCGAACGCAAGTGTAAGTGGAAACAAGAAAATTTTATTGATTCGATCTCTCTGAATTATAAGAGAAGCTAAAACCGAGCGCAACCGTAAATGGAATCATCAACACTTACGATTTGATGTACCTGAAATGCCTAAAACTAATTAATTGTGTAGAAAAAGAGAGCCATTGATTCAAAATGAGCTCGTGACATAAAAAATTCCGAATGACCCAAACTGGGATTGATCTATAGACGAATAATATGGTGAATTAATCCTACATAAATTAATTCTTCCAATTTCGTTAAACTCGTCAACAAAGAAACGAACTCAATTTCTTCAATTTTATCTTTTACTCCAGAGACTATGAAAAGAACAACTGCTTCTTTTCAACTCAAACATTGAATATTCGATCATCGTGGTAGTTGGCTAACTTCAAAATATGTTTTCAGAACAGCAGATTTGATCAGTCCTGCATCTTAACAATAAATAAGTTAGTACCGGGTTCGTTCGCGAAAAAAATATAGAAAGTAATCTGATATGAGAAAAGCAGCTTAAAAATCTTTGAGCAAAATGGAAGTCACTGATAAAGTGCTCCAAAATCAACATAAAATGTAAATGATCTTCTCGTGATATGTAACCTGAAAACATTCGTCAAAGTTCGTGTGTTGTAAGTTTGGCGCCGCATTTTATGAGAGTCGCTGGGCGCATATCCAGGTTACATATCGGTTCAAAATATTTCATAGAAGACAGATGAAACAAGTTTATTAACACTAACGAAGATGCGAAGACGTTGGTAATCAAAAGATTTAATGTGTTATGTATTTTTTAAAATAGAAAAGAATTTAATGATTTTTACGTAACTTTTACCTGAATTCTATTGTCCATAGAATTTCTTATTAATTCTCCTTGATTCCTCGCACAGGCGAGTGCCGTATACGGTGCTTCGTGCACACGGCGTGCGTGGCGTTCAGTGTTCGCCCGCACCCACACGGCGCGCTCGTGTGCGGGCTGGCCAGAGAAAACGTCTACGTCAACAGGCCAGGCGACGTACCTGGGGCTTCGTACTTCGTCAGGAAACGTGAGCTTTTTAGTGCAAAGGAATGATATTTTTTCTATTACCCCTTTCAGAGGGCAAAATACACATCTTGATAACACATTGTGTATATTTTAACTTGCATACTCATTCTTGAACACGATTCACAAACACTATTTCGGAAGGAAGCGTTTGACCCAATTTCATAGTAAAATTCACAGTCATTTGTTTCGCCTGCCTCCCGTTTTCATATATTGAGGACGCGCAAAACATCCATGGACAGAATTTATGGATTTATTACATGTCATGCAAAGTGATAAAAAATTAATGTTTATCCATGATAGACATTTGGCGATCCCTCTACTCAAGCTATTGCCTTCTCGCACCAATACATCGTTCTCAGAATATTGTATCCGTTGGTATTTCAATGCTCTGGACATCACATCTAAGAAAATATGAAATTGCAGAAATAGCCTATGATGAAGTCTTCTCCAAAATAATTTCTCGAACTATCCAAATTAACTTCGTAAATACATAAAAGTTAGCGGGACATTAGATATGCCTGTATTAGATTATTATCTTACTGCATCAGAGCTCGTGGAACCTTGGGCCATCGACCGTCTGATTTACCGCCGCTTGACCACCCAAGTTCAGGGCTACGCAGCCAGCAAGGCGGCCTGCGAGGCCATCCCCGGCTTCCGCCTGATTGCCGTCATGTTCGAGGCCCAGATGTCCATCCTGCTGGAGTTGTGCCTCGGCAGGGAACCCAACCTCGGAGAGACACAGTGCGAAGACCGTACCAGGTGGTTCTACGTTGACATGGTCAAGATCAACAACGTACCCATGATACGAGGGGAGATACCCTTGTCTGAGACCGATATTAGCAGCGTCCATATCAACGACCAATCTGCATACTTCCTGTATGCAGCTGGAGGGATGCTGCACGACGATAACCCGACGACCTGGAAATCTTTTCCTGTCTGTCAGGCCAACGTCTTTGCTGCGAACTGGTAGATAGAGAGTTAATAGCGTTAAAAAAATAAATATAAGTAAAATTCGCGATTGTTTCTGTGTTGAGCTCGTAGTCTGTTTAATTCCTTACATAACGCTCAGTCTGTTTAATTCTTTATAAAGCTCTGTCTTATTTATCCTTAATAAATATCCGACTGTTTAATTCTTTATAAAGCTCAGTCTGTTTAATTCTTCATAAAGCTCAGGAGCGAAAACTGAAAAAGTGACAACTAGGAATAGCTTTTACGTAGTCCAGTCGCTAATAAGCTCAATCTGAATTCGATGCAGTACCTCGCCTGAGATCAAATGGCAGTTCACACAATTTTGCACACGTCTCCATACCGCACTACGAGTGATTTGATTTACTTAAACCATTAGGTTAATTCACTTTGAAAGATTTTAATAGTATTCCTGTTGAGAAATGACGCTTAGAACGTCGATACATGTTTTACGGAAATAGAGAATATATCATAGGTAAACCTGTACTTGATTACGTTTTCGCTGTATCATAGCTGGTGGAACCTTTATTGGGCCCATCTTTAGTCCGTCTTTTATGCTAGCATAACATCTATACATCGAGAGTAGTAAAATGTGATATACCGTTACTAAATTTGTTTCATGAGATATAGGCTACTATAGAAACGAATCACATTTATCAGTAAAATCATCCATAACGTTGCAAGTAGATTTATTCAGAAATTAGCGCGTTACCAAAAACCGGAACAAACTTATCCGGAAAAAATAATTTCTAAGAGATGATTCAGCATCGGTGACCACACATGGTCAGGTTTAAGTCCGGTTCAAGTCTAAATGGTGGGATATAATACTAGGGAAATCCCCAACAAATATTTATTTAAATGACTGGCAACTAAGGTTTGATAAACTAAAAGAGCGAATGAAACCGCGGCCGGTCAGTCTGACTTCGGCCGAACAAGTGCAGGCGTAGGCGCGATCAGCAGACGTCGGTTACGCCGCTGCCCGTGGTCACGTCTAGGGTACAATTTATCACGGGTCGAATATCGTTTCAGATACGCGTCAAACGGATGAATATAGCAAAATTCTTTTGCGATAATTTTCCCTCAGCAAAATAAATTATGAGATAATACTTAAAGAAAATTTATTAAGAGAAATTCAGTAAAAAGTTACGTTTATAGATGGAATTGCCTTAGTAATACGCATGATGCAAATATATTGTTCGCTGCACGGCAGCGATTGGAGCCTGGCTTGCACCATATATGCAAAATTATCGCACAAAGTATTATATAAGTTATGACATATGCCCCAAAAAGAATAGCACACTAATTCTAATGATTAGCACCAGTTGATTGATTAAAATTTGGGCTTTTTGAATCGTCATTTTCAAAATTAGAGGTAAACCTTGGAATGTACAGTTTTTCCATGATACTACAGTAGTCAAACTATCTATAAGCTGAAATGAAACGATTTATCAAAATAAAAGGTTTAAAACAAATTTCGATTGTATATATCTCCAGACTATATATGCTGGATGTTGAACTCGTGTAATTTCGATTTGACTGATATATGAACCTGAAGTGAGTAAGAATTTATGTGAACTTTTTCTGCGACCGGAATGGCGTTTTGGAAAACTTTACGCGTGTCCTGCAGAATGGAATTATTTGCAAGCTACGAGCGATGACGTCAACAACCGTTTTATAGATGAAAATGAGTACCGATTCCTTGCATAATGTGAATAACTCAACCTAAAGATTGAGCGAAGTTCAGTCTTTTGAATAGCCTGAATCAGTAAAACAAGCTGTAATAATAGTATTAGTATGAAATTAGTGAATGTTTAAGAACATATATACGAAAAATGTTACTGAAAAGTTTTCTAATCTTATTGATAAGTTTTTCGCTTCTAACCAAATGAAGCTAAATTCTGTAAAAGTTTTGAAAACTGCCACACTCCATCATGTTCACGGAATCACGGTCGATTAGGCTTGGCCTAATTTGAAATCCATTTGCATCAGGCCGCCATCTGAGTGACGAATGCTCGGCGATTAAAGGCTATGAAAAAGTTCGTTGGACTGAATCCTCATCGATGTTTGGTAATCAATACTGAGCTCAACTATACAGGATGGAACTGTACTAAACTATACCGAAATTAGAGTGCTCACGCTGACAGCATAAAAATAGATGTTGTCCTAAGGAAGAGCAAGCCTCTTGCATTGGGAATGCTGCTACACGAAGAAAACTAAAAATTGGGTATTTAAAATTATTTAAAATTAGGTATTCGAAGCTAGAATTTATCCTCGTTTAATCTTACGAATATTTAGCCCACACTTTAAATACAATCCATTCTATCACAAGTGTCTAAAAAATGCTGAAATCAATCGATGCAACTGCTCAATGAAATATTTGATAGAATAAATCAACAGTTTGACTTATATGTATGAAATATGTATAATCTAAACTAGCAATCGCACAAAAGTTTTAATTGTATTTTCCATCAAGGATTTGAGCCAAAAGTGACTGCGATTTCAACCCAAGTGTAATTGAAATTGTAAATCGTGTACGGAATTTACTATTTATTCTCGAACTTGTACACACAATACTTTCTCATCAGTATTTTATATGAAGCGAGTTGAGAATCATCAATTAATATCAGCTAGAAATCGGTGGTGATATTATTCATGATGAGTGTTCACAGCCATATAACGCATTTATTATTTGGCCGATACATTAAAACTTGTGAATGTTTTAATTTCGCGTGACTATTTATATACAGTAACTTAACTTCTGCTAAAAGCATCGTGAAAGCCTGGAGTTATTTAAGAGATGGAATGCAGCGTCGGCCGCAGTCGTTCTGTTCTGTTGCGCTCGAAAGCACGCGACAAATTAGCTGAACAGTTACTGTTTCTAGCGCTTATTTTTTCACATAATGTAGATAATTTTAACGGTAAAGTTATAAAACTGGAATTTAAATCTGAACTCAAAGACTATAATTAATAAAAATTAATAAAGAATATATTGATACCTATTGCGTTTAGAAAACAAACTATATTTTTTATAGGAAGTAAGGAGTCACAAGTCAACGACGCATTCCTGGTCATCAAATAGCGGGGAATTATTCAAATAAAAACATAGCACGTTGGGATTTTTACAAATCTAAGAATATCAAAGTCGAACTTATAAACCCAAGTAAACAGATCGAATAAGAAAATTGAACCACAAAAAAGAATCTGAATAACTGGGACATATAGAATATATACCTCTATATAGGAAAGAAATAATGAATTTAGTCGGTGTGGCGCTGGCGGCGTTGGCGTTGTGGCTACGTGGCATAGGTTCGTGCGTCGCGGCGCTGGCGATGTCCACTGACGTCATTTATGACGTGGGCGACTTCTACGGCATCCTGGGCAAGGGGCTGACGGCCAGCCGAGTCTTCGTCGAGACGCAAGTCGAACGCAAGTGTGAGTTGAGACACCAAATTAATTGGTCTGGATGCGTTCAAATAATTTCAATTAACATTAATTTAAACATCGAAGACATGATCTTAATTAATTTAATCAATTCCAATAACTAAAGTGAAGAACCTGGGAGTTCATTTATGTTTTTTCACCACAAGATTGGAAATTGATACTAAATAATATGCGTTTAAAAATTACTTTTTAAAGACAACACTTCTAAAGAATCCAGTGTCTCAGATGTTACACATGTACAAAGAATTTCTAATTTTATTGTCAAATATATAAAAAATTGGTTTTTAATTTAATTTTTAAATTAAAAAAATAAATTTTGCAAAATTATTCATTCTGTCAATTGAGTCATGCATTGTCTCCAACTTTACGGAAGTGTGCAAAATTTCAGATCGATTGAAAAAGTAGAAGTGTGTTAAATATCGAATACAAGATATGTACCAGAAAAAATTATTTGTTCAAATTTTTTAAATTAAAAAAATGTTTTTGTTTTAAATTTTTTAAAATTACATATTCTGTCCATTGATTCATGCATTGTCTCCAACTTTATGCGAGTGTGCAAAATTTCAGATTGATTGGACAGGTAGAAGTGTATTAAATATCGATTATAAGATTTGTAGCAGACAAACAAACAAACAAACAAGCAAACAAACAAACGAACAATCAACAAGAAGTGAAGTTAAAGAGAAGTGTTGTAAAATAGAATAAAAACTTAAAAGAATGCCTTCAGTACATTCTCACACATTCTTGCTAGTTTAATTAAATCTAAACCCTGACTTTTTAGAATTTGTTTGTCGGTTCATCTATGGAAACATCTACACTCATTTACAAAGATGTTACGACATTCCGTCGGCGCCAACATCCTGAACTTTCCAGCTATATGAGAGCCAGACCCAATTATTAACTGTTATATGAGAGCCAGACCCAAACATTAACTGTAATATGAGAGCTAGACCCAATCATTAACTGTTATATGAGAGCCAGACTCAATCATTAATTGTTATATGAGAGACAGTCCCAATCATTACCTGTTATATGAGAGCAAGACCCAAACATTAATTGTTATACGACAGCCAGTGCCAAATATTAACTGATATATGAGAGTCAGACCCGATCATTAACTGCTTCATGAGATCCAGACCAATAATTAACTGTTATTTGAGAAACAGTCCCAATCATTTACTGTTATATGAGATCCAGACCCAATTATTGACTGCTTTATGAGATCCAGACCTAATCAGTAACTGTTATATGAGAGCCAGACCCTATCATTCACTAAAATAAGAGTGTTTCAATAAGAACAGTTTTAAGAAAATAATTTGAGTTTTGATAATGGAACGGTACCATTTCGTTTGAAACAATTTTCCGCCCTGATAAATTTTTGCAATGTTTGAAAATGAACCCGAATTCAAGCCGTAACGCGATACGTTTATTAGTACGCATCTCAAATGTGTATTAAATACACGCGTTAAGTAATACAAAAGATATTAGTTTGAAGTCCGAGTAAACACGTCTATACTTACGTAAAAACAGTCCAGGATATTTTTGAAACGAGTTCATCCTGATAGAACATAAATTCATAAGTGTGTAACTATTTATATTTTGTGATCAGTAGAATTGATTGAAATTTCTCTATTGTTTCTTGGACAGGCGAGTGCCGTATGCGATGCTTCGT